CTTTCTTCCTTACTTTCGACACTGTAATTTTACTAACAATCAAGATATCGCAAGATATCAAAATAAGGGTCGACCCCCTCACAATTTACAACAGCGAATAAGTTTGTATGAAATCAGAAACAAGCCTATTTTCAGACTAACTTTATTACTTTTAAATTAACATACAGCTTACTGATATGATTATTCGGAAAGACGATGAAATTCGAGGTACTCCCGCAGGATTTATGATCAGATCAGAGAAATCGACGACACACAACAACAGCAGATCTTTTTTTTGTTATGAATACACATATTATCAGTGACTTACCCAACCTGCGACAGGACTGGCAAGGGCTGCGCGGGAGAGAAGGGAGGAAGAGCGCAAAGAACCAGTTCAGCGCCTTTTCCTATTTTTATGCGTTTTATACTGTGTAACAGCAGTACAAAACGTATATTGTTACGGGGTTGTCTGTGTGTGTGTGCTGCCCCTCACATCTTGTCCCGCACTTTCACCTCGGTAGCCAGAAAATCTAGGTGGCTGGAATTTTAGTAGATTGTTCCGCGCCAACGGGTGACGCGGCAAATTTAAATTCAGCCTTCCCGTACCCGCGGGTAACACGTACGGCCCTGTAAAAGTTTTTCGAGTAAAAGCAGTATCTCGAGAACCACGGAAGACAGAAGGCTGAAATTTTGTGGGCATATCTCCCGCCCTTGTGCTACCCAAAAAATTCAAATTCAACTTTCCCCTGCCCGCAAGTAACATGTACGGCCCCGTTAAAATTTTTGACGGGTGAATTATTATCTCGGGAACCACAAAGTCTACGAAGCTGAAATTTTAGGGTAATGACTTCTTGCCCACGTGCGACCCTGCAAATTCAAATTCAGCGTTTCAGCACTCTCGAGTATCACTTATCGCCTAGTGGAAATTTTGGCGGGTAAGCTATTATCTCGGGAATAACGGAACGATATTCACTCTTCAAGGTTTCAAATTCAGTTTTCTTGCGCCGATGCGTGAAATTTTTAACTATTTTTTAACGCTTCAACTATTTTTGCACAGACTAAAGTACAAAGCAGTGAAAATCATTAACAGGCAATCGTTCGGTG